AAATAAAAAATTAATATTTTTATTTAAAAATAATAAAATACTATTTTTAAATTAAAAAATATAAAATTAATATTTTTATTTCCCCATTTTCCCACCAAACGGCTAAAAAAATATTTATCTAAAACATAAGAAGAGGGCTAAAAAGATAGAAATAAAAGAGGTCAATGATCCTGTCTTTTCTCTGTTTAATTTTTTTCAAAAACAAAATATAAAGGGCCCCATCATAAGTTGCCGACTTCGGAGGTTAATGTCATTTTTTTTTTGTTTTTTGACAAAAATAATAATTAATAAGTTAAGTTAATTGACTATTAAAAATTAAGGATTCAATTTTAAGATAAGGGTGAGTATCACCGCTTCCTCGTTGAGCGCGAGCCAAGTGACTCGCATGGTGGAGTTCGGTTAATGTCATTTTCTGAAAAGGCATGTACAACTGCCCAACGAATTAAGAATGGTTTCTACTCTATCAATTCTTCCAATGTGTGGACTTGGTAACTTGTCTACTGGTAAGTCAAAAAAATAAGTAACATGCTTCCCTCTTAAATATGTCATTCTACCATTTCTTTTAAGTTTCAGTGGTGTGATCATACCCTCCAACTTGAATATTTATTACTATTACTAAGCTTTGCATATTGATGTAAGTAGTTTAGTTATATATAATTTTTTTTAATATTAAAAATAAAAAATTTTGTATTCAAATCATATGTATAATATTTTTTTTTTGAATAGTTTTGTCATGGAGCGGGTTTGAAACCCGTCAAAAAAAGAAGGATGTGCACTTTTCAGTGGCTCTAACTACTGGACCACACGACCAAGTGCAAATCATATCTATAATTAAGATAAGTTATAGATAAAATAGATATATATATATATATATTTTTTAAAAGTCCTCACCCACTGTAGCCTATATACTAGGCTTGCATAACTAGTCTGTGGCACCCTGTTATTTACTGGGGCTTATTCTTTCCTTAACAAGCATGAATCGCTTCGTTACCATCCATTTTCAAGACTAGTGAAATTGGGAAGTGAACAGCTTGGACTACTACCTTATTTATCAATTAAAATACTATTTGAGGGTTCTGAGTAAGCACAATGGACAATGCTACTCCCATATGCCCATCACGTCTGTCCTGAGCAATTCCGTTCCCACAACAATCCAAGCGCTAATTGATGTGCCCATCACATGAAGCACGTTCTCATGATGGTGGTGCCCAAACTCATTAGACACTTTACCCACAATGATTGATGTACTTGACTTTTTTTTTTCTTTCTACTTTTTTTTTTCTTTGGCAAGTGCAATGATTAAATATTAGTAATGTTAAAATTATTGAAAACATAGTAATGTTAAAATTATTAATGAAAGGTATTGAATTTAAATAAAATTGTAATTCATGGAGTGTTTTTTGAACAATAACGACCATAATCACAACAAAAAAAATACGAAAAAAAATAAAAATTAAATCTTTCACCCAAAATAAAATACTCTTTAAACAGTGGTTAAATGGTCAGCTGGGACCACACGGCTGCTTTTTTCTTCTCAATTAATGCACGATTTTATGTGATATACCTTGTTTTTATACCATTTCATTACTGTTTTTAATAAACTAATAAAGTACTAATAGCCATTTTCTTCTTAATAGGTCAGCACCCTTTAGATAAAGAGTTCGGAATAACACTTCCCCTTCACTACTCCGTACATGTATACGATTTGTGATGCGCTGTGTGAAAACTTCAAGAAAAGAGCAGGACAAACATTCCCCCTGTTCTGATTTTTATATTTACATAACTAATTTTATTTTGAATAATATTTTTATATGATACTTCTTTCGTTTATTTTTAATAATTTTAATTT